TGCAGTCCTCCAGGATCGATGACCAGCGCTGTGCCCCCCCAGACTCCATCCCCCGTGGCCCCACCATGCCTGATGAAGACTTTTTCAGCCTCATCCAGCGTGTCCAGGCCAAACGCATGGACGAGCAGCGTGTGGATTTGGCCTCAGCCCAGGAGGAGGCCGAGGAGGAGCAGCAGAGGCCTGGTTCCAGCTAAGAACTGGGCTTTGGTCTGGGGGGGTTGTTTCAGCTTTATTTTGGTTTTTTAAAAAGGAAGAACAGAGTAGGTGGTTTCAAGCCCGAGTGCTTCCGTGCTCCCAGTCTTGCACCTCCATCGTGTTCCTATGGGAGAGCCCAATGGATGGGGGACAGTTTTTAAATAAGGGAGTTTTTTTAGGACACTCGGCCACTGTAACTCTGGGCACAGCACCTGGAAGACTTTAGCAGCCCCTTGCTGATCACCTAAAACCCCAGGAACTTGGAGGAGCCCACAGGGGCTAGCTAACTCCATCCTTGATTTCTTTTATTTCCACAACACTTTTATTTAAACAGGGAAAGGGAAGAACACCTTTTCCATTTTGAAGTCCTCCTGTCTTCCCTGACACAAATGGCTCTGGATCCTTCTCTGGAACATCTTGTTCAGCTTTGTTCCTTCTACAGGAGAAAAAGAGCCCAAGTCCTTTAAACCTTTTCCACCCCAACTGCATCGTGGTCCCACACACCTGAGTGTATTTTAGGTTTGCTGAGGACTCTCTGGAGAGCCCCGGACATTCTCTGCTTCCAGCTGCAACCCTGCAGGACCTCCTGAGCAGGGGAAAAGCCTCTCTGACCCTAAGCTTTAGTGGGATTTGTTACCTCTGCAGCCCCATGGCAGGGGCTGTTCCTGGGCAGAGGGGAGGAGGAAAGAGGTCTCTGCCCAAGTGTTCAGCCCACAGCAATCAGGGACAGCTCCTGGTGCCACTGAGCCGATGTGAAGGTGTCCAAGACAGAACCTGTGTGTGCCAGGGCCCTGCTTCAACAGCCAGCAAAGCTTTCTGCCCATGGCTCATCCTTCCTTTTTTCTGTGTCCAACAGCAGCTCGGGCCAGTGGCCCTTCCCTCTTCTTGTTTCTCCCCAAACCAGCACTGAGGTGCTCCCAGTGAGACTCTCTGGTTCTGTCCACCTGTCTCCAGCCCCTGGAGCCTCAGGAGAGCCCCAGCCTGGGGGGGCTGGCTGGGAACTCACATTTACTGACATTCCTTCCCCTTTTGGACCAGCTGGAGGAGGGCAGCAGGGCCCTAACTTGAGGAGGTGCAGTATTTTTCCTGTGCTTGACCAGAGACTGTGCTGGACTTCAGCAGCTCCAGCGTTGTGCCGAAGCAGCGCCGCTCCTGCAGAGACTAAATCAGCACTTTGGACTGGAAATGCATTTGATGGAAACATTCCCAGCCAGCAGGGAGGTGTTCTTAGACCAGTGATGCTGCTCATGGGGCATTTCCCCTGCCTGCACTGACCATGTGGAGTGGTAGCTGCAGTTTACCTGGTAGCTACCTGGGAGCACTCACCTGCTGCTTGGCCAAGGCTGGGCCTCCTTCCTGGGGCTGGGCAGAGCTCTGGAGAGGGGAGAGGAGGAGCTGCCCATCCCTACCTACCTGCCAGGCTGGCATTTGTAAAAGAGAAAAACATTGAGGATGATGACCTGACCAGCTGCAGGCTCAGGCCTGTGCAGCTCTCAGCCAGGTGGTGAACTGGAACCTGACCATTAAGCTTTCAGAGGTATTATTGAGGTATTATTTGCCATATACTTGAATGTATGAGCTTATTTATTTTTTACATGTGCATTTGCTAATGTCATTTTAATGGGGAATTTCCAACCCACAGGTACTTGTTTTTTTTTCTAAAAAATAATCTGCCAAATGGATTAATATATTAGAAATGAATACAGCTCAAGGGGAAGGGGTGGGGGGGAATTGTGCTTAATAAATATTTGTGTCTAAGCTTCAGTGCAAATACTCATTTCCATTATTTCCTGGCTCACAGCAGAGCTAATCCTGGCCCTTTGGAATAAGGATGGGGGTGAATGGAGGGAGGGGGGGGTCTCTGGTAACAGACACCAGCACATGTGCTAAGGAAAGTGTTGTGCACCCACCTCCACATCACTTTACTCTGTGAGCACGTGGGGCTCATGGCAGCCACCACCATCCCAGCTCTGCCAGTCTGCCAGCATGGAGTGGCTGTGGAGGGAAGGCACAAAGCCCTGAGAATTCCCTGCCCAGAAGTTTCCAGGACGACAGGGCAGACAGAGCAGCCCTGCATGGCTGAGAAAAGGCCACTGGAAAAGGCTGAGGAGAGGCTGAGCAGTTCCTTTCAGGCCCTGCCCGGTCTCGGTGCCGCCCCGGCGCCTGGCCCAAAGCTGGGTTGTTCCCCAGAGCCAGGGGACAAGGGAAGGGAGTGCTGGGCACAGCCCTGGAGTAGACACAAAGCAGCAGCACCAGCTCATTCCAGCACAGCAGGCATGAGCAGGCTGTTGGACTGGGCTGGAAGGCAGCCTGGGAACAGCAGTTTGGATCCTGAGCCCTCTGAGGATAAAGCCAAGTCACAGCTGGGCTTCCCGTGCCTGGCTCATTTGTGCTGGCCACTGCCAGCCCTGATCAAAGATAATTAAACAGCCACCAGCTTGTTCCCATCAGGTGTTCTCACACCTCAGGGTGCCTGGGCACAGCAGCTCTGAGTGTGACCTGGGGCCAGAACTGTGCCCTCAGGTGTGCAGAGGCTCAGATTCCCCAGGAGCAGGTGATCCCTGGGACAGAGTGATGGTGTCTCACCTCCTGTCTGTCCATCCTGAGCAGCACAGGCTCCTTCTGAGCTCCTGCTGTGTGAATCCTCCTCTCTCCCACGCTGCCAGGCTCGTTCCCACGTCGGGAAGAGCTCTCTGATGCTGACATCCGCTGGAGAGGCGCGGGACTGCCGGCCCTGAGTGCTGCTGCAGCTGTGCAGTGTGAGCTGCTGGAGCAGGGCTGTCCCCCGTGCAGGGCACGTCCTCTTCACAAAGAACCCTAAAAATCCAGCAGGAACACGAGATCCTGCCCTCTCCTACCCAGCTGTACACAAGCACCAGAGGGACTCGCAGGACAGGGCTGATGGAGAAAGGCACTCAGGAGAAAAAGCTGCTTCTCCTCCCTCCCTGCCTTTGGCTACAGCAAACCCGTGTGCTGACCTGTGTCCCCTTTCCAGAGCAAACCCAACTGTCCTATGACACAACATTCTGCAGAAAAAACAGCTTCAAAAGGGAGGGGAAAAAATCGGGTTTTTAGCTGCAATCTCTTAGCAGCAAATCTTTTTGTATTATGTGTAAATTCCCTCCCCTTATGTTAACCTGAATGTTCAGAGCAGCAGCAAGAACTGCCACCCACCATGCTCAGAGGGCCTCTGTCTCTGTCCTACCCCAAAGGGCACCTGGTGACAAAGGGCACTGGCACAAGGAAACACTAAAATCTAGGAACAGCCAACAAAGATTTTGCTACATTTTGCTACTTTTTTTACTAAAGCATAGCAAAAATTTGCACCGCCTTCCTGGGACCTAGTAACAGGTAAGAAAGGTAAGGAAAACAGTATAAAAAAGCCAGATTGTAAATGAGTTGTTTCCAAGGCAACACGGATCCTGCAACAGCTGCTCTGTTCCACCCCATCAAAGGCATCAGCACCATGGAAGCAGAATGCTGATTTTCAGATTAAAGGTAATAAAACAAACACTTTTCCAGCAGTGCTAATAGGTGCCAGCAGCCCAGCTCAGGGGGAGAACACAGCAGTGCTCTGAATGCAAATTCCTGTTTGTCACTCCTGGGTCACTCCAGCAGCTGGCTGTGTCAGGGGGAGCTGCACTCACAGGATCTGAGCACACACGAGCTGGCTGATGAAGTTCCTGCCCCTGTTTCATCACTCTGCACTGACACACCCACAGGAACATGACAACTTTCCTGGTGCTCTGACCCAACACCTACAATGCAACACAAAACTGTTATGAACACTCCAGATGAAGGAAACTCATGAATGCCTGCAATAATACCCTCACTGAATCTGTGGCTGATGAAGCACCACAAGCAGCTGGGGATGCCTGGCTGAGAGAACTGGGTTTGCTCAGCCCAAGACACAAAGGCTGAGAGAGGTTTTACTGCTTTATGTGCCTCAGTGATGAGGGGGATCCATAGAGGTTGTGATTCAAGATCCTGAATATCTTCCTCTGACAAGCAGATTGGACTGGAATCCTCCAGAAGGCTCTTCCAAACTGAATTAATCTTTGATTGCAAGCTCAAAACCCTAAGAAAGCAGGTGGGAACTGTGCAGAGGGAACAAACCCTAACAAAGCACAGCATCATCATCTCAGTGCTGATCCACCACTACCCCAGAGCTGCATGCTGACAAACTCCCACATCTGTCATTTATTTCTTTTTAAATTTCTAACTAATCTTAACATACTGCAGTAGCACTAATAAGCCCCTCAATATCTGCCAAGACAACTTTCTGGGTCCTCTTCTTCTCTCCAGCACTAGTAATTTTGCCTTCACACCCACACTCCCCCTCACCAACAAGGAGTGGTAAAACCCCCATGCTGGAGCTCGAGTGGGATCAAAATACAAAACTTTCAGCCCTGACATGAGGGACACAGAAAAAAAACTCTGGAAGAAGTCAAAAGAACAGATAAAAGCAGCCCTTGACTGCATTAAGAGCAGATGATCTGACCCTCCTGCAGGGTTATTTTGGCTTTAGAATTCTGGGACCCATCTCCTCAGGTGGAATCAATTGCCTCCTCTGCTGATTTGCCACACCTGAGCATCCCTAAAACCTCCAGCTCCAGCTGCACCTCACTAGGTCAAACACACATAGAGAATTTCTGAGCACGGAACAAAGCCAGGCATGGGACATTGCTGGGGTACTGAAAATTGCCTGAAAGTCAGCAAAACAAGAACCAGGAAAGACACCAACACATCTCTAAAGACATCAACTTGATCAAAGGCAAAACTACACAAGGCAAAGACACACAACAGAGAGAACCCAACACCCGAGTTTATTTTAGAAACAGTTAAAATCAGGGAATGAAGGTGAAGAGTCCAAGCAGAATGTCCCAAATCCCACGTGGCAGGTCTGTCCAAGAGACCACAATGTCACGTGTCCCACAGGCCACAGTCCCTCGTGTCAGGTGTGTCCCTTGCTGCCAGGATCTGGGGGGGCTTCCCCGTTGTCCCCCTGTGCCAGCTGAGCCTGGGGCCTGGGCTCTGCAGGGCTCTCCAGCAGCAGCTCCAGTGCCTCCTCCCCAGCCACACGTCTCACCTGCTCCCCTCTGGCTGCCAGGATCTCCTCGATATTCCTGCACAGGCATTTGAGAACCAGCAGTGACACCACAGCAAATGCCCTCAGCACTGACACCATGCAGGGAGTCACATCACCAGGAAAAGCACCCAAAATTAACCACAGAAAACCACCCAAACTTTCTGGGACTGCTCTCATCCACGAGGATCAATGATTTAGCAATTACAGAAGCTTTTAAAGTTATCTTGGGAATTTAGAAATCACTGGAATTCCACAGACCAATCCACACACTTGAAACATCCAAGGAAAGCCAGCAGTGAAGGGATAAAGCCTGAGGGGAACAGCAAATCACCCACTGGCACCACTAAGGATCCCTGTGAAGTTTTTACTGCAGCTTCACACCAATTTATTTGGATCCTAGACAGCAACAGTCAAATTATAATGACTGAAAACAGAGTCTGTGTGTTTTAATGAACTGGATGAAACTCTGGTTTTAGTATGAGCCACATTAGAAAAAAAAAATCACAAAAATAAGGCATCAGTTCAGGAAGCTGCAGGTGGGAGCAGGGTGAGAGGAGGATGCTGCTGGCATCCCTGGGAGCAGGGTGTGACAAGGATGCTGCTGGCACACTCACCTCTTTCCCTCCAGGTCAGAGAACCAGCCCAGGTTGTCGGCAATGACGTGGTGGTTCCCGCAGCCGGGACAGGTCACGATCACCACCCCTCGGTGGTAGGCAGCCTTAGAGATGGATTTGGCTGAGCGGGTCTGGCACACCTGAAAAACAAAGTGGGTTTCATGAGCACCGTAACTGCAGCTCCTGGGACTTTTAAGACAAAAATACTTTTGACATTAAAAGAGTCTTCCCTCCCTCACTTCGAACTATCCCAAGTCGGCTCCATCATGTTAGGATGTCGTGAGTTCAACCCGGGACACGAACGCTGAGAGAGGTTTTACTGCTTTCCGTGGCTCCCTAATGAGGAGGATCCATGGAAGCTGTGGGATCTCCACCCTCAGAGACACTCACAAGACCCCGAACATCCTTCTCCAACACGGAGCTTGGATTTGAAACCTCCAGAGGGCTCTTCCACTCTGAATTAGTCTTTGCAAGTTTAAAACTAAGAAAACAGCTACACCACGAACCCCAGCGGCAGCGCCCTCAGAGCGCCCGGGCCGCACGCCCACCTTGCAGGTGTACACCAGGCGATAGTGCGTGGCCGGCGGCGGCCCGGGGGCGGTGCAGAGCGGGCGGGCCGGGCCCCAGCGCTGTCCCTGGCCGGTGCAGAGCGGGCGGGCCGGGCCCCAGCGCTGTCCCTGGCCGGTGCAGAGCGGGCGGGCAGGCTCGCAGAGAAGCCCCGGGGCGGTGCGGGCCGAGACCCTCAGGCCGGGCGGGGGGCGGCGGGGCCGCCATGGCGGCGGCTCCCGGAGCAGCGCCCTCAGCGCGCGCTGCATGGCACCGCGCATGCGCCCTCAGCGCGCCCTGAGGCTGCGGCGGCCATGTTGGGTGCGGGCAGCCGCCATGGCGGTGTCGGGCAATGCCCTTCATTAATTAACCCGTAATTAACCAGCTCAGCCCGGCCCTGTGTCACACGCAGGCATTTAAACCTGTTTATTGACCGAGGGGCCGTCAGAGCCATACAATAGTGTCACTGCAGCGCTTTTCATAAATTGGTGTTTGGATGGTTTTAGAACCTAAACAGTCCGTTGTGAGTGAAATGGAGAGGCACAGGCACCCTGTAGAAGCTGCTGTTTCCTCAGAGATTGGCTCCTGAGGAGCCTGTGGTGGCCGTGGTGTCCCTTTCCAAGGGATGTTGGTGCTGTCCCTGTCTCAGGAGCCCTCGGTGTCGGTGTTGTCACTGCCAGAGGTGTTCTCCCAATCCGCCTCATGGTGCCGGTCTTTGGGCACCCTTCTCATTGCTCTTTTTCTGCAAACAACACCAGACATACAACTTTCAGAAGGTGTTTTCTGCAAACAAGAGGCATTTCATGCCCTTAGTGTGTATCAGTCCCCTTTGTGGCTCATTTAATGCCCTCCATTGATCAAGCCTGGGGACAGGAAAGGGGAAATACAAATACATGGATATACAAAAACATGGATATACAAATACAAATCATGGATATTGCCAGGTTAGCCCTGCTTACTGCAGCCCAGACCTTCGGTAACGCTCAAAGCAGTCCTTCATCCTCCTCCTCTCCTTTTCTGCCAGTTCCTCGTTGGCCAAGCCACACTCCTTGAAATAAAAAAAAAAAAAAAATTAAAAAACCCTAAAAACATACACATTTATTCTTGATCAGATCGGTGTTAACACCAGGTTGCTTCCTGCATCTGCAGAATCAAGTACCAGCAGGTTCCTTATTGTGTGTGCAGGATGGTAATGCTGCTGTTTCACACAGTTTTACATTTATTCCCTCTACATCTGTAATTCTGGGAGTGTGTTTTCTGCAGCAACAGTAATTCTGCAGTAATTACACTGGAAAACATCCCCACCCAGAGATGAAGGGCAGAAAGTAATTAGAAGTTTTTATACACAGATGGAGAAAAGTCCACTGTAAATGTTTTGCTGTTCAGAGTTCGCCCTTTTTGGAAGGTGGATTCTGCACTAAGTGCTGAGAGTTTAGAAAAGCAGGAGCTGCTGCCATGCTTCTCCAAGCTGGTAAATCCATCATTAATGAGAATATTAAAGATGACAAATCCCAGTCATCATAAAGAAGAGCCCACAAAGATTCTCTTACACTTGGTGATTTTGGGGGCAGATGGCTCTGTTGAGGGCTGAGTTCCTGGTTTTGTACTTCCAGGCAATCTTCTGAAAGATTAAAAAAAAAAAATTCACAGCTTTAGTCAGAGTTGCCATTGCAAAGTAACTTCTCCCTCCAGCAGTTCTTCCAATAGAAGAGCTGTGATGCGACTGCACAGAGTCCACAGCAGAACTGAAACCAAGCCCAAAGCACTCGGAACTCCATCCTGTCATCAATCACAAGTCACTTCTCATTTTAACTGAGCACTGAATCTTCCCCAGGATGGTGGGGTTCCCCACCTCCCTCAGAAAGAGACAGAGCTTTCCACTTCCAGCTTCAGCAGGAGCAAAACAAACCTTTTCCAAGCAGCTCCTCTGAAGCCACAGTGAGAAATGTGTTAATCATTATTTTATCCACCATTTGTCCCTGTTCCCCAAGCTGTGAATATCGTGGCACTTCACACCAGACCTTATTTTGGTGAAGCACCTTCTGTAGTGACCAGGTGTTACAATATATATTTTTGAACTGAGTAAGGTAGAATAATAATTAAAGCCTTTTTGGAGCAGTGCTGTTTAGTTTTAGTGAAAATTCTCCCATCTCAATGGATGAAAAGATCATTTAGATCTTCCAGGAGAGCAAAACAGAATGGACCATCCTCTCCAGAGCTCTACTCAGTGTTTTCCCCTTACTTTTAGCTGTCTGTATATCTTCATCCAGGTGACTGTGAAGAACAAGCTGTGGGGCAGAAAACAGAGCAAGAACATCAGAACTGTCCCTCAGTCTGTAGGAACAGAAAAAGGAACATAAAACCCAGGACAGGCTAGAACCAACCTCTCTCTCCCTGTTGCTGCCAGCAAACAGCAGACAGCCAGGAGTTACAGATTTACTCATGGATTTCTCCTCCATGAATAGATCCAGCTTCCTTTGGCCTCATTTATACTCTTGGCCTCCAGACAATGTGACAATCACTCCCTCACTGAAGTTATGAACTAAGTGAAACTCTTTACTACAGGTGGCTCCAGGGTAAGACTTATTTTTGCCTGTTCTCAGACAAGACAGACAATTAAAAGCAATTAAAAATAATTTAATTCCCTGATTTGCTTAGACTCAACACATCTTGCTGACTAATGTCATAACTGTGTCCTGCACTTAGAACTTCAGGACACAGGGAGGTTCTGTCACTGTCTTGCTGCCTCTGGACTTTTTGACTGAAATGAACCTGAGCCACTGCAAACTGCTGCTACTTGGGGAGCTGAGCACAGGTGAGGAACATGAAACCATCCCAGAAGAAAGGGAAAGGTAAACAAGGAACCCTACTCACTTCCTGGGAATCTCTGGAGGAGGAGTCATCCAGGTCAGAGGTCTGAAACAAAACCAGTATAGATTGATCATTCCTCATGAGCAAGGGAGGGAACATACAGGAGACTTAATGCTCCACAAAACACAGAACTCCTACACTCCTGTCTGGCCACTCTAGAAAGTACACAAGATGCCATATTAATTAAAATATCTCTAATTTATTTCCAGAAAACTTAGCTCCCCATTTCATCCAAATGGCTCACACCCAGTCTCTATTTAGAGTCACTCTGTGGTGGATGAGGAATCCCTCACCACCTTTGGAAATGCTCCAAACACAAACACAGGTGGCCTGAGCTTGCATCTGTCCAGCTTTTCCATGCCTGAAACCAGGGTGGGGTGATAGAGACCACCACACCTTTCATTTTCTAAACTCAGCATTTGCATGGCAATGGTTTTAATTAATTTTGGTGGTGGCTCAGGGAAGTGTTCACTGCCCGATGAGCTGGAGCTGCTCAGGCACCAAGGCCTGGGAACAGCCGCAGTGTGACCCCACCCTCAGCTTCCCAATCCTTCCAGGGGAGGAGAGCTATACCAGAGTGGGCAGCTCCAGCTGCAGCCTTTTCAGCTTGGCCTCAGTGGCCAGGAGCTGGCTCTCCTTCTGGAAGAGCTGCAGCTGCATCTCGTCACATCTCTCGCCCAGCTCCCGGATCTGCTTGCGGTAGGCGTCTCTCTCCACCAGGTTCTTGCAGTACTGCATGTGGAACTGCTCTCGGGTCAGGAGAGCCTGTGCAGGGGGACAGGGGGCAGTCACACAACAGCATACACAGGCTGGCACTGTCTGCCCAAAAAGCAGTGAAAAGCAGTGAGGGATATTTTATCACCTGGTCTCTCTCCGAAGCCACTTCCTCCATCTGCTGCAGGACAGCCTCAATCCGTTTTTTGTACATCTGGGAGTCCTTCCTCAGAGATGTGCACTGTAGCTCCAGCACCTCTTTCTCCTCTGCACACTGCAGAGACAAGGTCAAAAGCACCTGCCTGTGGGCAGAGCCTGAGCCAGACTGTCCCCACTCCTGCTCTGTGCCACAGATTGCTCTGGCCAGAGCTCCATGGGTGTCTGAGCTGTCAGCTGCCACACACGGAGTGCTGAAATACAGGTACTACAGCAGGAGCAGCAGGGATTGCTCCTGAGCAGCTGCTCTGCTCCACAGGCAGGACACTGCAGGTGCTTCACCTGCCTGTCTGATCCAGAGCCTCAGCAGGGACTGGAACAGCAGCACCTACTTTGTCCTGGAGCACCTTGGCCCGGCGCAGCTCCTTGCGCAGGCTGTAAATGGTGTTCACCAGCTCCCGGCGTTCTTCCACAGTCTGGCTGCAGTCATTCTCCAGAGTTTCCTTGGAGAGGCTCTTCTCCAAGTTCTGCTCCCTGGCAACCTGCAGGACAAAGGCAGAAGTGAGACAGGGCCACCATCTAAGCCCATATCAATTCTCTCCCCTCAGGGCTCTTGGGTAACAGCTGATCCCCACAATCTTCACTGCAGCATCGCTGCCCTGGCTGCTACAAATAATCCCTTCAGTCCATACTCAACCACCCCACCAACCTGGAGAGTGTTTTCCAGCTCCTGGTTCTTGGCCAAGAGCAGCTCCTTCTCCTGCTGGATCTCCCACACCACCTCGTGGCTGGGGCGCTGCTCTATGGCGTGTTTCAGCTTCATGGTGTGCTTCCTCTCCAGCTTGCAGTCATCCTCAGCCTTCATGAGGCTGTGCTTCAGCTGATCGATCTATGAGAAGGTTCAGAGCTCAGCAGGAGCAAGGAGAGACCTCTGGCCTGCAAAACCAGTTCTCTGTTCCCCAGCCAAATACAGGGCAAGTTTCTCCCCAGCTGTTTTCCTCAAAGTTTTGTGCCCTGGGGCCAGAGTCCTGCCTGTGTGCTAACTTCCTGTGCTGCCTTTGTGAGAGCAGCTTTGAGTGAGGGCAAGTCTGGTCATCATTCACAGCACAACTTGTAAAATTCAGGCCTACAGGGCTGAGCTGGGGACCACAAAGACACGTGCTAGAAAAGATGCTCAGTGCTTCATGTTGGGCTGGAGCATCCTTGGCAAAGACGAGGTGCTCAGCCCAGGTAAGAGTGGGAAGCTGGAGAAGCCGTGCCTGACCTCTAGCAGCAGGTCCCTGTTCTTCATGAGGGCCGCGCTCTTCTCCTCGCTCTGCTTGGCGTAGCTCAGGGCCAGGCTGTAGTTCTCGTCCTTGCACTTGCGCAGCTCCTTGCTCAGGCTGTCCCTCTCCTCCTTCATCCTCTGGGCGCGCTCCTGGTGCTTGCGGAGCAGGCTGTCCCTGACCCACATCTCCCTGAGCGTGTCCTCCTTGGAGTGCAGCCACCCCGCCAGCTCCTGCGCCTTGCGCCGCTCCTCCTGCACCGCGCTCTGCAGCTTCATGATCTCGTTCATCAGCACCTGG